ACAGTCGTCAAACTCGAGGTAATTCTCGATGTAATTAGCGATCAGTTGTCGATTGTCTGCCGTCGCGGACACCAGTTGTCTGCAGATGTCGTTCAGTAGATCCGCGGCGAACGTGTCCTTACGATCAATGGGTATATCCGTACGGAACGGGTATTTGCCTTCACATGAGATAATAAAACACAAATCAATACCTCTCTCGCGAGTAAGCGATCGATGAGTGCATACCTTCTTCGGCCACGCATTTCATCAGCGAATTCAGGGCCAACTTCTGCGTCGCCTTCGAGTACCGATTATCACCGATAAGTCTTAGGAGTGTGTCGTTCGTGCGGTGGTAGACACCGGTCAACCACTTCTTGTAGGTAAGGTTGGCGTCGGTGTCGCCGTCGCTGATCACCAACTCTTTGGTGTGAATATAACGGATGAATATCTTGTTCAGCGATCGGATGATGGTGTCGACCATCAGCGGCGAGCACTTGTCGCCACTGTCACCACGAGTCTGATCCAAGTCGTCGGTAAGTACTGTCAACACATCGACCAAATTGTTGACATTCTTGCGGTCGTCGATCACCGCTTGTGTCTTGTGCTTGATGTCCTCTATTTGTCTCAACTTGTTGTCCGAGTCGGTGGCCATACTTGTAGATCAGATGTGGTGATAATTGTCTCGTAAATAAACTGTGAATGAAATCAGTGTTTGAAAACACATGTCATTACACAACACATGCTTTCCATTGGTTTCTATAGTAATGCCAAACAACACGTGCTTTTGAGCCACACTTTTGCAGTCAAATGTAAACAATAATAAAGTTTTGGTTCACTTTTGGCTCAAACACTTGCCATCGATTTGTCACTGAATTTGATCCCAACATTGCTATGAATATAATATCTGTTTACTCATTAAAAGTGGTTTTATTTTATATTATTTTAATCGTTGTTTGCCTGAAATCAACGCTCATTTGAATGATGTTTCAATACATTTGTCTGAAGACATTGTCGGCGAACAGACATCTGATCCGCAAATCACCGCAAAGTCTACTGAAATGCATGTCTTGGCGGAGGAAACTGAGCGACAATTTCAGTCTAAAGAGGGGTCAGCTGTCGATGAGTTCGGCCGAAGAAGAAGCTGATGAACGGTTGCAAAAGACTGGCGATTTGAACGCATTGTCCACAAGAAGTCACACTTGCGGTGAACTCGCGGACACAGATGTCGGCCAAAGAGTGAGACTCTGCGGTTGGATTCAATTCCAACGAATGGGAAAGTTTGCGATTCTTCGCGATTCATACGGTTTGACACAAATTGTCTTAAGCGACAAAAACCATCAGAAGGTTGTGTCGAAACTGATGCCCGAATCGGTGCTCGAAGTGATGGGACGAGTGGTCAGACGTCCCGATAAGGACGTGAACCCAGCGCTCAGGACCGGCGCCATCGAAGTGGTGGCCGAAGAGGTGAATGTGTTGAATGAGTGCCGAAAAGACGTGCCGTTTATTATCAGAGACTACCAGAAGGTGAATGAGAAGACGCGACTGGAGTTCCGGTACATCGACTTAAGGCACCCGAAGATGCAGTCGATTCTGCGGCTGAGGTCTCACGTGATGAACACAATGAGACAATTCTTGACACAAGAGTACGGCTTCG